CTTGAGCGCGTGGACGAAGGTTATGAGCTCCTTCTTGCGTGCATCATCAATGGAGTGCACGACGGGCACTTTCTTGCTGAAGTACTCGACCGGGTACCGGTCCACGCCATCGTGTTGCTCGAGGACGACACCAATGCCATAGCCGGACGCATCCGTAGTGACGCGCGTTGGCAATAACGGGCCGTATATGCGCAAGACCTCCGCAGATAATAACGCAGCTTTGAGAACCAAAAACAATTTCCACGCATCCTCTCCAAAGTCAAACGGCCGATCCTCGCATTGAAGCTTTGGTCAAGTGGGCCGCGATCTTCAAGTATCCCTTGATAAAACGCTGGTAGTAGCTGGCAAGGCCAAGGAACGAACGAACATCCGTGACGTTCCGCGGCTCCAGCCACTCTTGGATGGCTTGAATCTTGTCCGATAACGGGATAACGGACGAATGCCCTCCGGTGTGACAAAATGGCCCAAGTATTCCAGCTCTTGCCGGACAAATTCGCACTTGTCGCAGTTGGCTTTGTACATGGCGCGGCGGAGTGTCTCCAAGACTCGTCGAAGGTGCTCAAGATGATCCTCCAATGTCCGGCTATAGACAAGAATGTCATTTAAGTAGACCAGCATGAACCGGTCCAACATTGCACGGAACTCATTGGTCATTGCCGCTTGAAAGGTCGTCGGGCCGTTGGTCAGACCAAAACGCATGACCACCCACTCAAAATGCCCGTATCGCGTCTTGAACGCGGATTTATAGCAATCGTTCAGTCGAATCACAATTTGATGATATCCCGACTTCAAATCCAACTTAGAAAAATACTTTGCGCCACCCAAACGCTCAAGAAGATCGTCGATACAAAGAAGAGGCCCCGCATTCTTGACGGTGTGCGCGTTGAGTTTGCGGTAGTCGATACACAATCGTAGGTCCTTGTTCTTCTTTCGTACAAATAGAACTAGCGCTCCGTATGGGGAGCTACTAAGGCGGATCCAGCCCATGTCCAACAAGTCATCGAGTTGAGCGCGGAGGATCGTAAGTTCCTCCTCGCTCATGCGATAAATGCAACCTTTCGACGACACGGCACCGGCCTCAAGAATGATCTCGTGACAGAGATCGGCCGATCCGCCACCACACCGGTAGGTGACTCGAAGATGTCGGCGAACTCGTCAAGCAACCGCACCACACGGGGGTCCGAAAACAAGTCCGTGGGTGAAGAGTCGGCTACCGCGACGGTCCGTAGGAAACATAAGTCTATCTCATCCGGCTGCTCGTAAGCGCAAGTAGCCCGGAACGACTTGGCCGTCACCACTTGGCACCGGATGGAAGGGTGCGGAAGAGGAATAGTACATGGCACTTCGGCGCCGAAAGCGTCGCGAACGGTAAGAGTCCGCCGGTGGAAGTTGACCGTGTGATCCGCACTTGCAAGCCAAGGCATTCCCAAAATAACGTCGAAGTCCGTGTCCAAAATGTCGAACGTCACCAGTTGGCATGCATGAGGTGCGAAATACACCGACACGGCCTCGATGTAGTGGTCGATAAGTTGCTTCGTCCTTCCGCCTGCCAACTTGATCGTCGTTGGGTTTGCCTTCCTTCGAACTTGTGTACCAAGGCCAGCCCTTTGCATAAAGGCTTGGCTCATGAAGTTGCGAGACGCGCCCCTATCCAACAAAGCGTTGCAGGACGCTTGCCCAACTTGGATGCAGACATAGAGGAGCGATGCATTGTTGTCGTCGTACCGCTGCTTGCGAAACTCGCCGGCCACCTTGGTAACATACGCAAGGATGTCCCCGGCGCGACTTCGTCATCCGTTGGCGAAGTTGGTAGTGCATAGAAGGATAAGTACGTGTGAAGATGAGCGCATAATGCTACACATTGCGGTCCTGACAAGCGGCCCGTCGTCGGGAGAGGAAGCCATGCGAAATCCTCGGACGTGAGCAGGTCGAATACCTCTATGTTGAACTCGCGCGACGAGTCCCGTGAAGAACCACTTGAAGATGATAAGTTGTCGCCACCATAGGATACATACACAACAGTGGAGCAGTGTACATCCTGATGCAGTGCTAGAGAAATCCCAACAAGCAGTGTACATCCTGATACATACAAACATGGTGTTTTATAGCGCAGTGGAAGATTTAGATACAAGTCCTGACCTGACCGGGACTGACCT